GATATGTTAGGCAATAAAAAAACGCATTTTTAATATTTAATTGAAGTTTGGTTGGTCTGACAAGAATAAATTAATCACTTTCAATCAGATGGCCGATCATGGTATTGGATCAAAGGCCCAAATTATGCCTAAGCGCATCATGTAAGGCAAACTGTGAATCACAGTGGTCGGTGAATAATAGTTTGGGGTTGCAAAAATATTATTGGTCCGTTAGTACGCATTATGCGTAAGGAACAGTATCTGTTCATATTTCAACAAAATTTGCAAGATGTGGTCGAAAAATTAGAGTTTCTGCCGAAAAATCACCCAAAACACACTGCACATGTTCGCAAAGACTGAAGGCAAAAGCAAAAAGTTGCTATTTTGAAATGACCTCTACAATCCGCGGATATAAATCTCGTCGAAAATTTGCGAAATCAACTAAAAGCGCAGCTTACTAAGTATCCAAGTCCGTCCAATGGAGTACATGAGCTCTGAAAGCAAACCAAGGATATATGGAAGGCTATACCTCCAGAATGTTTACAGAGATACAAATAAGGTATGCCAAATCGCATCCAGGATCTAAAAAAAGCAAAAGTATACTGAACATTGTGTTAACAATTCTTTTTTTTTGTGAAAATCGTCAAAAAGTTATTAAAAATATATAAGTGCAAAACTGTAACACATGCCTCAATTTACATTTTTGTCCGCTGGTTTTATTATTGTTGTTGGATTGACTTCAATTCGTTATGAGAGAGGAAGTACAGGTGTACCAATAAGAATATACAAGGAAAGTATGAATGTCGTTAGAACTTGGAAAGATAGCGGCGGCTGATATAAAAAGCGTTACACCATGCTACAGTTTTGCTCGTAACTGTATGTAAATCGGTAACCGTTCTACCAATTTGTACCAAACTCGGTGTGGTTATTGTGCTTGCCACATATATGCAAAACGTTGAAAATTATTGAAATCGGACTAGAATTTCGGCCGCTTTTCATATAACGGTAAATTTCAGAAATGCCTGAAACTTCCATATTTCGAAATTTAAAGACGGTAATTTACTCCAAATTGATACACCCCGGCTTACCATGTAGCGGTTGCTTTCGGAAAGGTGAAAAAATATATGTATTTAATACTTGCGCCGGGTATTTAATGTTCGGCTCCGCCCGAACTTAGACTTTCTTACTTGTTAATATTTCGAATACCGAAAAAATTAACTGAACTCTCAAGAAAAACGAAAAATTCATATAAAACGACGGACGAGAAATGGAAAAGAAATTTTCTTCTACCAAAATTTCTTAAATCAGTTTGCAGCTCTCAAGAAAAAAATGCTCGTATATTTATTTCCTCATAGAAATTTACAGCAAAAGCAAAGCGCTTTTTCAGGCAACAGAAATTATAATAAATATTTCTTATAATTTCCTTGAGCTGGATTCTTAGCTTTAAGATACAGTTTGTATTTGAGGTTATTAGTTTTAGGGGGGGGTTTGAACCCCAAAACTCACCCCTTGTGTGTGCCAATGTACCTTGTTTATACCTACGAAAACAAAAAACAGATTTGATTCAACACATACATATGTATTTCTTTCTAACGTTTACAGGCTAACCTAATATCCGCGGCTTGCGTTTTGGTACGCACGCAATCGAATTAGTTTTTTTGCGTCGCCCGAAATTGGCTTGCTTGCGTTTGCATTTGATTTCATTGTGCGAAACGTCAAATCAAAATGTCACGCAGAACAAAAATTGGAAATTGAGTTAGCTTCATACGCACGCCGTTCAATTTCGGTTGGTCCCATACAAGTTGTATGTGCATGAGAAATTTTTGACACTAAATTGGCGGCGTGCGTGAATATTAGGTTAGCCTGTTATTCCTCAGTCTTTATACCCCACTCGATAAAACCGTATTGAAAAGTAAACAAACTCCGTTAATTTTATTCGACATGTAGTTAATAATAAATTTCCGCGGTGGACCGAAAAGGAACAGTAATACAAATTTATTATAATAACAAATACAATTAAAAACGGCCTGTATAAAGAAAAAAAACAGCAAATTTTGATTTCGCGTTAAATGAATTATTCATTTATACGGGTTTTCTAACCGATGTGAG